AGTTTTATATATTTATTTGTCTCTGTCTTTTTCTGTTTCTTTGTCTTTATATCTATCCCTATCTCTTTATTTATATATATCTATCTTTCTCTCTGTCTCTGTCTCTGTTTCTGTCTCTGTTTCTGTCTCTGTTTCTGTCTCTGTTTCTGTCTCTGTCTCTGTTTCTGTTTCTATCTTTGTCTCTATCTTTATCTCTATCTCTTGCTCTATCTCTATCCTTATCTCTGTCTCTGTTCCTTGCTTTGTCTCTATCTCTATCTCTGTCTCTCTCTCTGTCTCTATCTCTTTCTCTCTCTCTGTCTCTCTCTCTGTCTCTCTCTCTGTCTCTCTCTCTGTCTCTCTCTCTGTCTCTGTTTGTCTCTGTCTGTCTCTATCTCTCTTTCTGTCTATGTCTGTCTCTTTCACTGTCTCTATCTCCCTATCTCTATCTTTATCTCTCTATCTCTATCTCTCTGTCTCTGTCTCTATTTCTCTCTACATCTCTCTTTATCTCTCTTTATCTCTCTCTCTCTGTCTCTATTTCTCTCTCTCTGTCTCTATTTCTCTCTCTCTCTTTCTCTGTTTCTCTTTCTCTGTCTCTTTTTAGTTGACATCCGTGGCGAGTCCTTTCGCCCCCCCCCAGCACCCCACACGTTGGGGATCGGCATGGGGATCGTCTCCTCCGGCTCTGCTTCTCTTTCTGCTGCTGACCTGGCTGCTGACCCGGTGCGGCGCAGGCCCTTTACCAGCCTCCCCACAGCAGCACAGCAGCACCCATCTGCTGCAGCAGCAGCACCAGCAGCAGCAGCAGCAGCAGCAGAGAAAGGGGGCCCCCAAGGGCCCCCCTCTTCTTTCCCGAGAGAAGGCACAGTACCCGCATCCAAGCCCCCCATACCCACCAGCGCCCCGCCCCCCTCTACCCCCTTCACCCCCAAGACAGGCAGCATAGCGACAAAGAAAACCCCAGAAGAGAAGCAGGCTCAGCCGCCTGCTGCTGCAGCAGCAAAAACAGCACCAGCACCAGCAGCAGCAGCAGCAGCAGCAGCAGGAGCTGGCAAGGCTGGGGGGGGGGGCCCACCAAGCAGCAAGCCGGCGGGGGCCGGGGCCCCACTAGGGAAAACACTACCCCCCGTTGCAGCGAAGAAAGACTCGCCTGCAGCCCCGAAGACCCTCAGCTCCCCCGCAGCGAAAGCAGGGGGGCCTCCAGCCCCCACAGCAAGCGGGGGGGGGCCCCCAACAGCCAAAGGACCGGGGGGGGGGCCCCCAGGTGCAGCAGCAACAGGAGCAGCAGCAGCAGCAGGAGGGAAATTGCCAGCGCCACCAGCAGCAGCAGCAGCAGGAAAGGGGGAGGGGCCCCCAGCACCCAAAACCCTGGGGCCCCCAACCACCAAAAGCCCTACAGGACCACCGGGGATGCCGAAGAAGACCAGTGGTCCACCACCAGCAGCAGCAAAGACAGAGGGGCCTCCAGGCTCTCCATCACCCAAGAAAGAGACAGCTCTGCCTCCTAAGAAAGAAGTACCCACACCAACACCTGCAGGGGCCCTCAAGGCCCCGGGGGCCCCTGGGGGGCCCCCAGGGGGGGCCCCGGGGGG